ATTTATATAATATATATTATATATATTATTATATTATATATATATATATATATATATATATATATATATATATATATATATTATTATATATTATATCATTATATAATATATATAATAATTTTTCCAGTAATTCGCGTTTTTCGTTTGAATTCGATTGCCGTTACTTTTAAACTAACAATTAAATTTGTGCACATTCATTGAAACAGATTCATTTTGAAGAATAATTTGAAGCTAATAACGCTTTTTAGCTAGAATTTTCGGATTCTTTATTTTCAGGTTAATACTATGGATGTAAGACAAAAATCATTGTATACATTATCACGTATATTATTATGTATATTATTATGTAAATTATTGTCTATATGTATTGTGTTAATTGGTCACTGAACTCGCTGCAGTGGTAATAGTAGTTGTAGCAGTAGTTGTAGTAGTAGTATTTGTATTGGCTTAACCGCCCCAACAATCAGCGTAGATGGGCATGCTGCAACTTGCAACAGCGTCGCGAATTAATTGCTACAGTTAATTTAGAACAGAAGTCGAAGTTAGCTTTGCGCATGAAATAGTCGCGATCCTTAGCATTGCGAACTATTCGCGGTTTGATTTGGCAATTTTCTTAGATTGTTCAAAATCTGCCTGGTCTTGTTCTTTTTGGAAATTAAAGTAATCTTTTGGATTTCCGTTCGTCGAGTTAGCATCGCGACGAAATAATCGCGTTGCAATAGCTTCATTCGACTTTTCCTAATTTTTAATTAGGGCGCAGGGCGGGAAATGTCGTCACACAACGATAGAGAGTGTAATTTTGGATCATAATTCTTCATGTGAAAGCGCCAAACATCGAGATCTGCGAGGCTCCAGACTTGCGTGCGAGCATTGTACGCGCGTCGCGTCACTCTCGTGACGGTGCCTTCTGCTCTGACTCGCTCTTGTTTCTTGGTGGAGACAAATCAGAGTCTTCTGCACTGATTCATTTTAGTCCTCGTGAATCGGAGACTTCTTTGATCCACTTTTTACACTAGTTACAGTGACTCGCGTTAATATTCGGACACCATATTGTTAGAAGAATTATTGCTCCTTTTTATTGTTTAAGATAGTATTATTGAATCAATTGTTTTCTCACATAATAAAGCACTTCTGAAAAAGAATATTTTTACAAAAACAACTGGTGGTGGAATGATGTAATATTTTTATGAAAGCAAATTTAATCTTTACGGATCCGACAGTCAAAAAATGGTGTGGCGTAAAGTAAATACAGAATTAAACATTTCAAATTTAAGATCGACGGTGAAACACGGTGGTAGGAGTGTAATAGTGTGGGGTTATAGTTATATGGGATCTCGTCTATAGGTGTAGATGAACTAGTTTTTATCGATGATATTATGGACAAAATTAAGTATTTGGACATTTTTTTTTTTAATTTAATCACAAGTGCTATAAATATGGGCATACGTACAGTTTTAAGTTTTATCAGGACAGTGATCCTAAACACAAGACCAGAATTGTACAGGAATATTTATTAAACAATTGTCCAAAAGTACTGCATCCTCCTCCTCAATCGCCTGATTTAAATCCAATTGAAAATTTATGGGATCAATTAAACCGTAAAATTCGTACAACACCTACAAAGACAACAACAAAGATAAAACAACGTTTGTCAAACGAATGGAAACGGATTTCGCCGGATTATTTAAATAAAGTCATCTGTAACATGTCGAAGCAATTACACGAAGTAATAAATAAAGCAAAAGGGTCAACCGACAAAATATTAATATTATGATAACATGATTAAAAAGATTCTTATATCATATAAAATTAATGTAATTCATTCACTGTCCGAATATTTTTGCGACGTAGAATTTTGTCACGATCTTGTTTATCGCTTATTATACAAAAAACCATGTGGAACAAATAAACAGAATTTATGTTTCTACTTACTTTAAGAAGTGCTTTATTATATGAGAAAACAATTGATTCAATAATACTATCTGAAACAATAAAAAGAAACAATAATTCTTCTAACAATGTGGTGTCCTAATATTAATGCGAGTCACTGTAGTTTAGTAAGTTGTCGTTGTTAGAAAGGGAGCCATAACGAATACCGACTTCGTCCTGGCCCTCTTTCGGGTCTCTGACGCAGCAATTGCCCTGCAGTGAGACCCGGACAGTCGATATTATCCTCGGTTCAGAAAATGTTGCGAATTGTAACGAGTTTTGAGTCGAGGGTGATACCGAGCTAATAGCTGCGAACTTTGAATTTTCTTTGATATTATAAAGTAGAGAATAAGGCTGTAACAATTGTTGTTGCATCCTGAAGAAACAAACCCTTGGGATTTTCGTCGACGAGGTTTACGGCACAGACGCGACAAAGGTTATTTTTGAGAGTAAGACCTTTTTCTTGCATTTGGCGGCCGTTTCACGTCCAAGTTTCGTTTTCATCTTCCTCAATAACCATGACGTGCCATAAATTCGGCAATTCCGAGGAATCATCCCAAAATGAAACGCACCCGAGACTGCCGAAGGTCGGTTTCGAGGAATTGTGCAACTATCCAACGCATCCGATACCATCGCCGAGAAACAATTCATGGAGAGTTTGTCGATAAGGTTTACGACGCGAATAAGGCAAAAGGCTACTTGTGAGGTTAGGACAATTTTCACACTCGGCGACCATTCGATGTCGAACCTTTCGTTTCATTCTTCTCGATAGCCGTGGCGTGTCATAAATTAAGCTAGGACTATTTACAGTTCGCCTGGGGGAAGTTCACAATGTTGCCAAGATCTTCGAAAATGACAGGTACGTGCAGCTCTACCTCTTCCACCCTTGCGAAAACAGGAAATGGGGGTCGTCATACGGACTCCCGATCATAAAAAAGAAAAACGATATATATATATATCGTCAAACTTTTCTTCAAAAAGTGCTTCTCGTTTATATATATATATATTGACGATATATTTTTGATATCATATCAAACATGCTGCCAAATCTCATGCTGCAAAAATAACACAGGCAAAAATTAGGAAGCTTTGATTGGAACTTTTACCTCATCCACCATATTCACCACATCTCGCGCCGCCGGATTACCACCTTTTCAGATCGTTAGAGCATACATTAAGAGGTAAAAGCTTTAACAATGTTGAAGAAGTGAAAACGCACTTGGAAAAGTTTTTCGATGCAAAATCGAAGGACTTTCTTAAAAAAGGAATCGAACAACTGCTTATACGCTGGCAGAAGGAGTTAAAATAATGATGGAAATTATTTTGTTGATTAAAATGTAGGATTTCTTTAATAAATAAATGTTTTTAACCAACAACAACAAAATTTTGATTACTTTTCGGTTTACCTAATATACATATCTTAGTTAATATAGTGAGTCAGTTTCACACGGGTCAATTTTCTGCCCAAAAACCGCCATACCTTATGCTTGAATTCTTATCTGGTTTGTTTACGAATTTCTAAACAGTATAACGTTTACAAATTTATAAAAATAAAAAAGGAACATTGCGGAAGCAACGAGAAGTACAGTGTGCCCGTATCAGTTAATTTGCTCTTGTTAATATTGACATAGTAAAGATTGCGTATCGTAGATAGCATTGTACACGTTTTCATAATTCTGATTACTTTGTTGTTGTAACGATAAATACGTCTGAACAGAGGTAAAGAAATAGATTGATCAAATCGTATGTTTCTGTCACGCATTAGATGAACAAACATGATTACAACGCAATCCATAGCAAAACGCTCGTAGACGAATGGTTTTAATCATCTTCCGTCAGATAACTGAGTTAAACAGAGTTCTGTGTTCAATAATTCGTGATTATTTATCACGAACTATTTCGTGACCAATTAACACTTAATTTCGTTAATTGAAATAGCAATTTGTGAAGTTTTCAGTAACATTCAGTTCATGAAATAGCGTGAATTTTTTAAACATGGATTTATACCATACTTCATGCATATCGCGCTATGAGAGGTAGTAGCAAAACGTTCGAATTATTAGACAAATTTACCGATAGTGTTGGAAATACATAATGGCGCCATTTGATGTTTTTAAAAATATATATCTGCAGTCGGTAATTTCTCTACCAGTTTAAGCCTTTTGTCACTAAGTAGTTAGAGCTCTACCTAGTTTCGAAATTTCATCACAAGCGACGCTACTTGTCAGAAATAGCGTTATTTTTAAATTTCCGTCTTTGCACGTGATAAACTATTCTTGACCGTTTATGTATTCTTGGAATATTCTTTCAATTCGTCACTATGCGTCTCGAAAAGTCTTTTGTTTATTTCTCGGAAAGGTTATGCAAGCAATTAAAACTAATCAGTGAGCAATCATGGACAATTTAAAGAGCAATTCTTTTAGCTACGTTCCATTAATATTGGTTAATACGATGAGTCAGCTTCGCACGGGTAGACAGAGCGTTATCGTAGGCGGAACCGATACCACAATGAAAAAACAAGCCTGATGCAAATCCTACCGTGCGATTGTACCGTACAGAATGACGTCAGCCGGCGTACGCCGCGGCACGTTAGTAGTAGGAGACTAGGTACGGAAGGAACAACGTGACAGCCAATAACGGCGCGACACATGTAGCATTGGCCGTCTCCACCAGTCGCGCTACAGTTTGACGTCAACAATATTTCTAGGATGTTCGTCGGCGGGTCAAATGCTGCAGCCCGTCAGTTCGATTGCATCAGTTAGAAGGTATCTAGAAGCGGAATTTCCCTCGACGGGGAGCATGTATCGGCTCAGAAGCCTTCCGACGGTTCAAGGCGTGAGAACGAGCGTAGGAGATACTCGCACCCTAAAGTAAGGTTCTATAAACAAGTGGCAGTGGACAAGTTTGTGACGTATCGAATGGCAGATTATGAGCGTATTGAAAAGTGTCATCATCACGTTGCCTAAGGGGCTGCCGAAGGCGGCTGGAATCATACCTGGCAACAACTTATCAAAATCCATTGCAAAATTGAATTTCTCCACTGCGGTGCTGTCGGATAAATTGAAAATGGAACCGAAGAGATTCGCTAAACACGAAAATATGCAAGACGAGAGCGCGATATTCAAGTCGGACTCCTGTGTGCGCGGAAAGAAACGGCGGTTGGATCACTTGACATGGGAGGAGAAGCTACAAAGAAAGTATGTTGAATCAACATTGTTGTGATTTTCCTGTGTTGTTTATAGGTTGATACTCTGATACTTCAGTTCTTTCAAGGATAGCTCATATCCCGGTAAAAACATCTCCGATGTTTCGTGCGCCCTTTTTATCTTTTTCCTGCAAATGATTCATTTTTTCTTCAAGTTTTTAAATTACACGTTAATAGTCCGGCACCTTATATGTCGTGCGTCGTTTATTTAGAAACCACTCATTTAAAAATCGCGAGTTTTTTTCTTCAATTCTTGACGCGGTTCTTAAAAAGTCCATTTAAGAATAAATAAAAATCCATTATAGTATCATATATCCAATATATATATATATATATAAAAGTCCATTTAACCATTTCTTCCAAAAATAAATTTTATTATCATCAATTGCGATGACTTATGATTTTCTTGCTGAGGAAGAGATCCGAGATTATCAAATTTAACTTTCATTTTCACAGGAAGCTAAAAAATAGGGTAGCGGCTCAAACTTCCAGAGATCGGAAGAAAGCGAAATTGGACGAACTAGAAGACACCGTGAAAACATTGCGAGAACAAAATGAATTATTAACACAAGAGTGTACGATGCTAAGGTCGCAAAACGATTTGTTGGTCACTGAAACGAAACGACTGAGGAAGGAGAAAGATGTGAAGAATTCTGGAGAATTGATCTGCTCGTTGTGTCAAGGCCGTGTGGGCTGTGCTGTTTCCTCGCTGGGATCTACAGTGTCCCCCAATCACCCTCTGCCGCAGGGTGGAGCAACACAGCTGGCACAGTCTCTGACACTAACCCCAGGAGCATCAATTCTTCTGAAGATATTGACCATTTATCTCCTCTTGAAGAATTGTTTGGTGACCTCCAAGGGGATGACTACATCGAACGACTTGAAGAACTTGCAGAGAGTCTTCTGCGAGAGGTTACCACAGAAGTGGAAACAAATCCTCATAGAACAAATGAACAAGTGAGTATTATAATACCTTAAGCCGAATGTACAACGTTTACAAACAATATTGTAATTCATGCACGTTATAGTAATGAATGAACTGTTTGAGATAGAAGAACAATTAGATCTACTAACAACAATGGGAAATTGGGAAATTGGATGATGGATTTAAAATGTTGGGTTGAAACTGTTAATGGTTTGACTACCTTGGAGGCTTAAAAACATTTGTAAAGGTTTTTATTTATGGAGATAAAAGTTAAGCCGTCAAGATCGTGTAACCATTAACACAGCTAAATTCAATTAGAACAGAATTCTCGGATGCTTGAAACGATTCGTTCGTTCCTAAATATATATTGTACACCGGCGTCTCAGTTTTCCCTTCATTGATGACGTATCGCTTGCTCCTTGCATAGGTGTCAGTCAAGGAAGATACCGCTAAGAAACGTGATAATTCAGAAAGAGTGGTGGGGCAGACATCAGAAAATGTGGAAACCGGTCGAACCTGTGGAAGCTTGACCGCCTACCAACCATGGCATCCTGTTGCCAGCACAGTTAGCACACCTTGTACACGTAACGCAAACACACCTGTTTCAATCAAGTCCGAGGTCGAAGTCAAAGAAGAAGTTGACGCGCATGACTTGGACACAGTTTACGGCACCTACGACGAGACTACAAATTCTATAACGATCATTTACCCGGGCGAGGAAAACGGCGTTGGTATTCAAGAGTGTGTTCAAGAAGTGAGTACCGACGACGTTTGCTCGATCGAGGACTCGTCGTACTTCACATCGAACTGTTACTATTCCAATAATCAGTTTTCACCGTCTTACACGTGCACGGACACCATGTCGCCATCGAGTATACATTCCGAAGACATAGACTCGGGTTTCATGCAAGCGAAACTGGATTCGAACGCGTCCGACTGCGGCTACGAATCTCACGATTCTCCAGCACCCGATATTAGAAACGAGAAGAACAACCTGGCCCTCGCGGATCTCTGGCACGAAAGCTTTTCCGAGCTGTTCCCCACGTTGGCCTGACACTTTCGGCGCATTAACAAGACGGCGAACGCTGGATCGTCTTTGCTCAGTCTGTGATACAACTTAAAGTGGAGCTTACGGATGACAAGAATATCTGTTTCATTTTTTAATTGACAATTTGTATTTGAGACTTGTATACGTATTATATATATATATATATATATATATATATATATGGATCTATATATATATCTCGTTTTTTCTACGGTAAAAAACCATAATAGCATAATATTTGTAACACGATATAGAACACATTCTAAAATACGTAGCCGGTCCGTACTATCGAACGTACATACGATTACATATTTATTTTTCTATATGTATCGCTAATCATTTAGTTTGTTTTGTAAAAGACATGAACACCCAGTTTGACGAGTCGTCATTGAAATTTTGAAAACACGTTTATCTTAATGATCGATTGTTAATGTATATATAATAATTATTAGATGTTTACTAGCGAGGTAACAAGTGGTGTACTGCTGTGCAACAGCATGTCGAATAAACAAATCTAAAGACAAAAGCTTTGCATCTCATTCTTATCTGCCAGCCGAGTGTTTTTACTTTTGATTATCTTGACGCAAAAACTGGAGATATTGATTGTTATATTGTGTCGCAATTCGCAATAGCGAAGATATATAGCGGGTGTCCCGGTATTCACTGTACAACGTTTGTCTTCATCGTAAAACGAGTACTGGAACTCCCTGTATGCTACATAAAAGTGTGTTGCGTTCAGCGAATGAGTTGCAGTTATCGATCATTCTGATTCCTAATGCAGCTATTTCGTCCCGATGCATTATTTAACTAGGGTTACCATATTTTAGAAAAGACAAAGTAGGACAGTTCATGAGAAACTAATTTCAATGTCACCATACATTCCTATCTCCTTTTTTGCACTCACAAATTAATCAACTTATTCCTTTCCAAGTACAGACCACTCATTAAATAATCATGAAGCCAATTAAACGTATTAACCGGCAACCCTATATTCAATGGACACGTTATTAGTAAAAACAAGCTACTAATTAGCACCCTTTATTAATCCTTAGACAATACGGTCAATGTAAAGTACCTGATATAAAATGCTCCTAAAAATATTAGCAACGTGCCCTTATTAAGGACAATGGAAGTATAACGGTGACTGTGAATACCTTAATACCTTATCGTTCGTGGTAAGAACGAACGAACGATACATGTTAATGTTAACTGCAATGTTGCACCATGTCGAACGTCGCTGTTCGCAATCGAATCTCAGCGGACTGTCTCGTGCCGCGGCGACAAGCGATATTCGTAAAGTACATGTATGGTTCCTTAAAACGACTAAAGCGATTTGCATTTTCTTTATGCGCGTGAACGCGTTCGCATACGGGCAGTCCGTAACATTGTAAACATAGTACCAAGCGAAAGAGTCCACTGGTTTTGTCTTGTTATCCATTATGTTACAATTATGAATACTTTTCTAATGATTCCTAGCCAAATAACTTGTCGAAACATCCATGGCAGTAGGGCTTGTCGTTTTGTTCTTTGAAGGTACCTTTGTTCAATTGTTTCAGACAGAACGCGCAAACAAAGTGTTGCGGATGGAACTTCCGGAACATCGCTGTTATGCAACGACCTGAAACAATAATGTTAATAAGCGCTCTGATGCTCGGGCCGGCAAGGATGTCAATCTGCTACCCAGCTAATTTTCTGCTCGCGGATCGTTCATTACAAAAACAGGGAAAAGAGATTGTGGAGATTGATATAACAGATTAACTCGTCATTGCCGGTTAGCGGATTGAAATTGCGTATTCTCCAACATATTTTGTTCTTCAAAAAACAGCCCAAATTGTTGGAGCATAAAAACATTGCTGTGACAGTAGTATCAATAAAGAAACCTGTAATTGGTTTGTGGCATCCCGCGCACAAGGACCCTCTCTTGGCGTGATAGTGTGTCTCACAGTATGGTAGGCCTTCGTGATCAAAGAACGAACCCCCTTGGAACTTTTGTCTGCAATCCTACGAATGCAAAACAAAAATGCGTGGGTGAACCTAGTGCGCAAAAATAAAGGAGTCATTGAACGTGACAATGAAAACGAATAACGAAAGATAAACATTGTTTCGTTCGCGTGATCAATGGCTCCGTAAGGGGATGACCACACCGGTCTGACGCTATGTCACGATCAATACGCACACGGATTGTGTACAGCTTATGCCTTCGCGTAAATTATAAATTTCTCGCGTAAAGCAATCTTTCTCTAACTCCGCCCGCAAAATCCGTGTAGGAGCTATGATAGCATTTCCGAGTAAATCTTGAGCACCCACAACAATAAAATATCTATAAAATAACAGGAGAGGCTTGCGTCCTGCCGTACCTTCCTTTAACCAGAAGTCACGTGGCGGATACGGCAGCCGAACCCGTGCAACTCTTTTGTGTTGTGTGTGTTTTGTTTTTTTTTCTTTTTTTTTGTTGTTCTTTTCAGTTTATTTTTATTTGTCATACAATACTAGAAACTGCTATCATAGCTCCCGCGATCTCGCATATTAATTAACATTGATCGTCTACGACTAGAAAAAAAAATATAGAATCTGAACCTCGTTAACAATGTATAATGTATCTGATCAAATCCCGCTGACAGAAAAATACTATAGAACCTTAACGATGCCCTAACTGTTACGCGCGTTTGTGTATATATATGTGTGCTGTACAGGTTTATCCGTGTGCGTTTGTGTTCGTGTTTGGCGTGTGCAATCAATGAGAAATTTCGAGGCGGAATGGACGATGACGATGCTTCGTCGCTGTGTTCCCTCCGTTGAATCGCCTAAACACCTGTTGAGAAAGTGGGGGTGGGGACAGAGATGCCAGGCTCCGCATTCGTGGAGCCTGACGACATAGCACCATGGGAGCAGGGGGAACAATAGGGCATTTCACATAAGAAACGGAAGCATTCTGCGACAGGGGACTCGCTTATGCTTCCTCCTCCTCCTCTTCCTCCTCGTCGTCAACGCCCACGCACTTCGGGCAAACGGGTTTGCCCTCCATGGCGTAAAACGACTTTCCGGACACCGGTTTCTTGCAATCCTGCAATTTTCACAGGACATGAGTCTGCGGTGCCCACGTGCGTCCTTATCGTTGCGGCTTTCCTATGCAAATCTGGTCTCTTAGAAACATTGCTCCAACTTTCAGCAGGCTACGAATTGATAATACGAGCGGTTCACTTATTTCGATAGCTCCTATAATTCATTGCTGGTGCGACCTTTCCAAAACGACACAGATTACACTGAAAATCCTCAACGGCAAAGACCAATGACGCCCGATTGTGGGACCGTGTGGTTTCCGTATGCCTGTAATCCAGCGTGAAACACTGAGGCTGTAATGAAAAGCAAACATCTAAATCAATGGTCCTTTAATCAGGGAAACCTACCCTGCAGACAAAGCAGTCAGGATGCCACTGACTGTTCAACGCGGAAATGTAATTCTCCATGATGGCGCGGTTGCAGCCGCCGCACTTAGGCGCGAACATGTCGAAATAGTCTTCCCTACAGTATGGTTTCCCGTCCCGCTCGTGGAATCCTTCCTCCCCAAACTGTTTGCCGCACTGGGCACAGAAGAAGTGTTCCGTGTGCCAGGTCTTCTCCAGAGCGGTCACGCATTTCTGAAAATAGTTTTGAGTATACGAGACTGGCTAGCTGGTCGAGGGAACAGCCGCCAAGGCCGCATTTATATTTTTCGGGAATGAGTTTATTTCAGTTAACTCTGCTGTGTTCTTTGGACACAACAATTGTTCCAGTTGCAATTGTTCCTTTTTTCAGTGAATGCGGCCCTAAGTACCAGGAAGTCTTACGTCCAGAATGGGGCCGTTGCAGTAGGCGCAACGGGGCGAGAAGAGATTATGGTAGTCGGACTCGCAGTACGGCTGGCCTTCCCTCTCGAAGAAGTTCCTCGTGCCCAGCTCTTGATTGCAGTGGGTGCAGGTGAAGTGCTCCGGGTGCCACGTTTTGCCCAGGGCGGTGATCACCTGAAAACAGACTCAGCGTTAACTTTCTGAACGGAACTCGATTTGACACTTGGCGAACGAACCGCCGGACGGTCGCTATTTACTTGTCCCACAATCGGCTTCTCGCAGGCGCTGCAGCATCCCTTCTGAGTGGTGTTGACACCTTGACGACTCATGTCTGCCTGAAGGTTTCCTAGCATAGAATCCAACTGGTTCTGTTTGTGTTGAGCAGCCGGCTGCGGGGGATAAGGCTCTCCGTGTTGCTGCTGGTAGTGATGGGTGGTGTGGGTCTCGGTGATGTGGATCCTGGTCTGCGTGCCCTCGGGTGGCAGCGGACTCTGCGAGCTCTTGGTGGCTTTGTTCGGCTTCGCGTACGGGGATTCGGTCACCGTCTGATGCTGATGGGATCCACTATTGATCTGCAAACGAGCAACAGCTTGTGATTACAGCGCGACTGTCCAGGACTGTTTTTAAGATAGCGGAGAAGATAGAAACTCGAGGAGGTTTCGGGGGTTAGTGCAGGGGCGGTCCAAGGGAAAATGTCAAGGTACCAATAAATGAAGTGTCTCGAAGGGGAGTCGCGAGCCGACCGATGTCGATTGGCACAGGCGAGCTTGCGGACTGGCTTTCAAGCTTTGAGAGATTTCGTGGATCAGTATTAACCCCCACCTTCTATATTTTCCCTCTCTTTGCTCCTCTTCTTCGGGGGCCACGGAAAATCGACGGAGGCGAGGAAAAGGCGACACGCCGAAGGAGAGGAGGAGGAGCAGACTATGACGGCCGCGGCTGGTGGTAGATGGTGGTATGGAAGCTATTTTGGTAACCTAGGGAGCCAAGAATGGGCAGGAGTAGTTTTCACGCGGGCTGTTTTCTCATTCTGTAGTGACTTTTAATAGTAAGCAAACACTACAAAAGCTTATTGCACCCGCGTCCAATTAACCGGCACCACGAATCGCGTAATCTCGCCAATAGAAAAATCCAGTTGCACCCGAGGAGGTATATCGGAGAAGGGAGGCCTCTACCCGGGGGTGCCCCCCTCTTCGATTTCGCCGAATCCATGTGTAATATCAAACGCATTTGTTTCAGGGTCCACCATTCATATTCGGCCAGCGAAAATAGAATTCAATGTCGGGACTGTGTGCAATATATTTTTTAAATACAATACATTTTTTCAGGATAGGAACCTAATTACATAGTTACTTCCAAGTTGAGGAACTTTCATCCCTTTCATCCCTCACTTTCACTTTCATCCCTTGAATATTAAAGCGAGGGAATAATATTCCTTCTAGATATGGCATTACGATTATGTCTAGAGATATTGAAAAATAGGTCCTCAATTCTCAATTATGGAGGATGTTACAGAGCCATGGCAGATCAACCAGATTTAAGTTTTGCAAGAATTTACTTCTACACAAAACTTGAATGTACAGCCCCTCGTGAATTAGGTCTGACAATGAGTCTTGGGTGTTTTTCTGCTGTACCTTGAAGTCGGACAAGGAAGCCATGAGATCGTCGAGCTCCTTGGTAGCGTTGCTGGCAGTATGGCCGTTCGTGTATCCTCTCTGTATCTCGGACCGATTCAACGAGCCATGTCTCGAAGGGTAGCCCTCGTAGACAGGTTGAATCTCGGTGGACGTCTCCTGAATGGTAACTTTCACTCTTCCGTCGGAAGGGTAATCTCTGTTGAGAACATAGCGTTTAATCTCGACCGTTAACCATGAAATAAATCAACTTCGTCGAATCGAAACGTTGAAGCCTGACTCTCTCACCCATTAGGCACCGCAGTGCTCAGCTCCTCGAGCAAAGAGTCCACGGTTGGCCTCGAAGCGGACATGCTGCTAGGAGATCGAAGCATCGGACTAGAGTCTCCATTCATTCCGCCGGAGGAGACGCGGTTCTCTGCGATCATCAATGTTCGATTGATCTAAACGCATTTTCTTACGAGCGAAAAACTATATGTGTACAGTGTGAAAAGGCTAAAAGATGTTCGACGGTTATGTTCAGAGGGAACGAGATGATTCGTAGCTACTCGGTGAATCGCAGTTGCTAAACCAGTCGCGAAAATAGGATGCTGACCTCTTTCTTGATAATGCGCGTTGTAATGAGCGTTGCTGAGGTCTTGGAGCAGAGTGTCCAGCTCCGAGAGGTTGTTGTTCAACGAGGGCATCTTTCCTCCGGCGCTGCTTTTCCCGATTGTCTCCTCGATGGCCTCTCGGTTCTGATAGGTCGGCTGCAACGAAATTCATTAACGACGTCTATCAATTTTCGAATGGCTCGATCGACTCGATCATCGTCGGAGGATTCTCAACTTCGTAAAAACCTTAGCAAATAATTATGCAGCTGGTCGTAGACTCTCCCGGGGACAAGAATGGTGCATTCCCTATAAGGAAATTTTCGCCAAAATAAATAACTCCTAAACAACTTCATTTTCGATATAGCGTCTATAATACTTTTTTAAAGACTATATCGCTGTATAGTTACACAAAATTAAAAATGACTAAATTCGAGAAACAATACAGGGTGCATCGATAACCACCCTATCCAATTGAGGCTTGAATTTCCAGTACGAATTTTCAAAATCGCTTCGGTCTCGCTGTTGAAAAGGTACAACTACGTGGCTTCGGTGAATCTGAGATTTATGGGCTCTGTGTAGTTACACAAAATTAAAAATAGCTAAATTCGAGAAACAATACAGGGTGCATCGATAACCACCCTATCCAATTAAGGCTTGAATTTCCAGTCCGAATTTTCAAAATCGCTTCGGTCTCGCTGTTGAAAAGGTACAACTACGTGGCTTCGGTGAATCTGAGATTTATGGGCTCTGTGTAGTTACACAAAATTAAAAATAGCTAAATTCGAGAAACAATACAGGGTGCATCGATAACCACCCTATCCAATTAAGGCTTGAATTTCCAGTCCGAATTTTCAAAATCGCTTCGGTCTCGCTGTTGAAAAGGTAGAACTACGTGGCTTCGGTGAATCTGAGATTTATGGGTTCTGTGTAGTTATGCAAAATTAAAAATGACTAATTTCGAGAAACAATACAGGGTGCATCGATAACCACCCTATCCAATTGAGGCTTGAATTTCCAAAATCGCTTTGGTCTCGCTGTTGAAAAGTGAGAACTACGTAGGGCTTCGGTGAATCTGAGATTTATGGGTTCTGCGTAGTTACACAAAATTAAAAATGACTAATTTCAAGAAACAATACAGGGTGCATCGATAACCATCTTATCCAATTGAGGCTTGAATTTCCAGTTCGAATTTTCAAAATCGCTTCGGTCTCGCTGTTGAAAAGGTAGAACTACGTGGCTTCGGTGAATCTGAGATTTATGGGTTCCGCGAATGTAATGGATGTTTATTTTTTGATCGGAGCAAACTCGAAGAGTCGAACGGCTGGTTGCGAGACTCGATATATTCGAGGAAGCGCGCTGGTCCGGGAGATTGTAACCAGGCGTCCGCAGGACTCTGTGCTACCGCGACATGTTCCTATGGTTATTTTTGGAACGACAACTCATCGAGCAACCTAGTTTCCATCGGGATGTATCGTTCAGCCTTCCGATCGCGAAAAAGAAGCGATTTTAACGACATTATTGGCGGCCTTGAGATCCTCCATGGCCTGGAAAGGCTTCTACTGCCTAGAGCTTGGGGGATTCTAGCTTAGAGAGGCTGCTTCCTCCTCCTTTTGTTCTGCGTCTCGGGGCCTGGGACGCGGCGAGGTCGCCTCGAAAGCAATGTCCTTCGTCGGTTTCCACACGGGTTAGACCGCGGCTCCAACGCCGAGGTTTTGCAACAAACGTGAAAATCCGTCGGCTACCGTTTCTATTAAAAGTGCATGACGCCCTGTCCTCCGCGCGCTCGTTTTCCCAATTGATAATGTATTTACAAAACGGCGTGCACAGCATCCAGTGACATCATGCTTTGAAATAATATGCTTCTACGGAACTTGGCAAGCACTGGACAGCTTTTCTTTTCCATCGAGCCAACGACGACAAAAGAGTTTTCTCCCCGTCGTCGCCCCTCGCCTCCGATTACGAACGAACGTGGACGACGGACAGCATACGGTCCGTAGGACAAAAGTCAAAAATTCGAAGTGTGGGATCTAAAAAGTTTTGTGTCCCGAAATATTAACACTTTAATGGCCGCTCACACAACACGTGTGCGATGCTTTAATAATTATGTAGGTGATTGCTTTAATAATGATCGCACGAAGGAAAAATATTAAATTTGTTGTATTAAATGTATTGTTATTGTTTTTTCTTTTTGTTCTGCGCGTATGTTCGCAGAGTGTTGAATTATTTCATGAATTACATAAAGATTTTTTAAAATTAATTCTTCAAAAATATCGTCCNTTAAAAAATATTTTTTAAAAAACCCCCCCCCCCCCCCCCCCCCCTGGCGACGTTCGACTGCGTAGACGTGCGGCCATTAAAGTGTTAACGACGAAATTGTAGTTTCTGAAACCAGAGACCCTTTTTTTAGAGCACACCAATTTGTTGTTGAAATTTAACCTTGACGTTCGATATCGGAAATCAATGCATTTCTTCAATCTGGTTTTTATACATTGAATTCGGTAGTATAAAACTTTCAAAACCAGTGAATAATTTTAAGCGGATAACAAAATGTAGTTTTCTGATAAATGCTCGTGATTTTCTGTACACTACATCTGAAAATTAATTGGTTTTATCTGTACGAATTCGAATCGTTCGAATTCGTTCGTAGTTACACGACAACAAGTAGGAATAAAAAGTTGATGAGAAATTTTTATTTTATAAATAAATAAATATTATTTAACTTCTTTTTAATAAAACTTCTACATATACATATATATTCTATATATATTTATATATATATATTTATATATATAGTTTGTATAATATTAATACATTTGTATTATATTATATTAATTTTAAATATAATTATATTAATTATAATAATTATATTGTATTATATTAATACATATATATATATTTATAATTACAATTAATATAATATAATACAAATGTATTAATATTATACAAACTTGCATTTTCGCTAAGGAAAAAGTTATTTCAAATCACCTCAGGAACCCCTCATTTTCCGGAAGTAACGTAATTTTAGGATACCCTGTATAACGTAAAAAGTTTAGGAAAAAATGTATAGTAAAAGCAAGCCAAAAGCTAAAACTAGATCTCGTTTCACGTTACCAATCGATCGACATGCAAGATTCTAATTTTATTTTACAACCATTCTGATTGTATCTATTTCAGGGTATTTTGTAATGAAAATCGAGCAGTGACTTGATAAAGGCGATCTTGTCGCTTTAATACCACTGGTTCTAGTATTAATACTAAACCTACTGTGCTCTAAAAGTGGCTAACACGCGTTGCTTCATAAGAACGACAACACTGAATTTATTTAGACTCTTCATCATTATTATTATAATCTGGGCTTGTATCAAGGAATTCAGTCGATCGCTTCATAAGAAGGAATTCACAATTTCAACAATTTGAAAATAAAAAGCGTTGGTGCGGCCATTTTGATCGACACGTAGGTTCAGCGGCAAGGATGCATCACTAAAACTAGCCAAAATAGCTGGTTTCCGATCTTTTCCTTTACGATTCACTGATGCCATAAAAATGTTTTTGTTAGAAATTTTTGCACGAACTTCTTCACCCAAGCATGCATCATAATAAAAATCGTAGGAAGTTTAAATAAATCCAATCTTGTCATTGTTATAAAACAATATGAACATTAGTCGCGTTTAGGGCGCGATAGTTCTTCTAGTGGTAAGCAAATTTCCTGCCTGTGTTTGTCAGAAATTTTTGCACGAACTTCTTCACTCAAGCATGTATTGCAATAAAAATCGTAGGAAGTTTAAATAAATTCAATCTTGTCATTGTTATAAAACAATATGAACATTAGTCGCGTTTAGGGCGCGATAGTTCTTCTAGTGGTAAGCAAATTTCCTGTCTGTGTTTGTCAGAAATTTTTGCACGAACTTCTTCACTCAAGCATGTATTACAATAAAAATCGTAGGAAGTTTAGATAAATCCAATCTTCTCATTGTTATAAAACAATATGAACATTAGTCGCGCTTAGGACGCGATAGTTCTTCTAATAAATAGACGCGATAGTTCAAAGCAAATTTCCCGTCTGAAAAGTTCCTGGAAGCTCGAGCTTCCGCAGTTCGTTAATTAAATCTGTCCACCGACTATCGAGGGGTTCGAGGCATGAGCTTCTTCAACCGAGTTTCCGGCGAAAGAAAGGCCTCAGAGCCGCTCTATCCCGCTAACGCTCGGTTCTAGTGGCCGCGACGTGCGCATGCATGGCCGATGAATCGATGCATTGTGCACAGTTTATGCAACGTCTTCGAAATCGCGCGGTAACACGGCTCGAGCTTGCACCGCGACCGTTTCGCGATGTGCTAAATTCGAATCGAAGGGAAAGCGGACGATCCCGACCCGACCTTCGATGTTCGCTCGCGCGCGAGTTCTTTCCGAGGTTCCCGGACGTCGAAGCCGTCGATCAGGTCGCGACAAGATCGAGACGATCGCGACGTAAACGTTGGCGAGACGTCCAAGATCGACGTGGCCCGATCGTCGCACGTCCGATGATTTACGCCAAGAATACTCGACGGGCCGTAAAAACCATTATCCTGGCCGGCGAGCAGCGGCGGACTCGCATAAATCGCCGGCGTCGACGCGGCTCGTTATTGCCGCGATAATTCTCGCCGGAAGTCTCTCATTTCCGCGGGCTCCGCCGAGATTCGCCTCTTGGCTCTCTTTCCGATTTTTCGGCGATTCGTTCTCGCGTTTTTTCTTGCTCGTCTCACGACTTTTGGCAGAACCGAACGTGACCGCGTGGGCGCGATAAAAGTTATTTATAGGTCGAAGCTCCAGGCATCTTCGAAAAGACATTCGACGTGGGATAAGTAGACCCCGACGACACTGTTTACAGAAATCTCGATCGCCGTAGATTCGGGGGTGGTCGGTAATTTCATGCGGACAGTGGCTCGAAAAATTTCCCGGTGCAGTTTCCCAACCACTGCACCAGCGGTCTTGACAGCGGTAATTTATGATGAACAATCTATTTTTAGACTTTCACATTTCTAGACAATTTTTTCTCTCTCTCAAACAGGGAACCTTTGAAATCCCGATATTCAAAATATTCGATCTTTCGGATAACTTTCCGCGTGGATATAGGAATTTAAGTGGAAAGCCGTGAAATTGGAATTGCAATTGAATAGCTC